CTGCTCTCAAACTACAATGTGGTAGGCACTGAGCTAAGCATATAAATTTTAGCTAGCAGCTACCATATTTTGTAATCTAAAATTTATAAATATTTGAACATATTCACAACTGCACAAGAAACTCACAAATCCACAAGAAAATAAAGACCATTTTTGTTTGGCAAGAAGTGATCAAGGTAGAAAATCTATCAAGATACTGCTCCAGTGCTTTCCAAATACATGATAAATTATATCCATTTATTCAACAGTTATTTATTGAGCTTCTTCTATCTACTGCTATTCCCAAAACAGCCCCTGCTATATACTGATATAAAAGGATATCAGTGGTCAAGCAAAACTAGATATTGCCCTTATCCTCATGTAACCTACTGTGCAGGGAGAGAGATATATCCATCAAATAATCACATGCACATTTGCATTGAATTAAAATACACTGAAAGCCCATTCCATGATGCCATGAGTTGAGGATTAAGCTGAGACTAAATGAAGAGTGAGCATTAAGTAAGCAAACAAGAGAGGTAAGAGTGTGCTAGGCAGAGAAAACAGCATGTACAAATCTATGGCAGGCAAAAGCTTAACCTGTTCAAGAAGTTAGACCTATTTAGCTAAAATAGAAAGAGGGAGGCTGACGACACAGTGAGGCCAGAAATCCACATAGAAGCCAGACTAAACAGGGCCTCATAGATCATGTTAAACATTTTGACTTTGATCCTAAAAGCAGGGTGAAGTTGGAATCATTGGATTGGCAATTTGAAAGGATCACAGTGGCTGCAATGTGATAAATAGTTTAGAATGGAGCTAAGGGATGTGTCCAAGGACAGTTAGGAAACTATTAGTACAGTCAAGGCAAAAGATGTTAGTAGATTGATAGAATGACAGCAGCAGATGGGATAGTGTGTACACATTAAGGAAATATTTAGAAGGTAAAATAAAGAAGATATGTTGGTGAGCTGGATGTTAGGAAATGGGGAGGAGGGAGAGGGTCAGTAATACCTCTGGTTTCTGGCCTTTGGGTCTGGCAAATGGATGGTATTGCCAGCATGGAGCAAGGGAGCACCGAAAGAACACCACTGCCTCACAAATCATCCAGGCAGTTTAAATTTTATTGTAAACAAAAACTTCCAACAATCAAATTGGCTGCACTTTTGATATCTGCATGAGACAAATCAGAAAAAGCAAAATGCCATTACTTATGGTGGTTTTGTAGAATTACATGTATTTCATTTTATCTAACAACATGCACTGCTCAAGCCATAGCATATTTCTTCCTTAATTTCAATATATTCTAACACAACACAAAAATTCTACTTTACTATCCCAACTTGTCAATTTTATAAACTTAAAAAAAATTCAAAATGCACTGGAAATGATGGAAAGAAGAGAGAGATCAAACTAATCAATTATAACCATGCAGGTCTTTATCTTTACCTACAGTGAAGTGTTGATGCCAGCTCCTTACTGAACCACGAGAGCTCATTGTTAAATTTTCAGGAACCTTGCAAGCTGGTTGTAAGTAGTTTGAAATTAGCCACAGTGGAAGCACTAACTATAGAAACTGGAAAATACTACAGAGTTGGCAAATGATTCACATCAAGAGATCCATCCACCTCCACCCCTGACAAAGGCTGTTGTTAGACATTGATCAGCACACAGATGTTTGTACCTTTTAGAACTGTGGATGGTACTTTGGGGGATATCCTGATTATAGAAAATACTGTAATGAGATTGGTTGTAATCTAACTGGTATAAGAATTGCCTATTTTCTTTTCTATGCTTTTAAGTGTCTTTCCTTTAGGATTATTTGAACTCCCATCCAATTCTTGCTGGGTATTTTTTGTTTCCACAGAACTTCAGTTGTGAAGATATGCCACTTTCAGGCATTGTTCTAGTAATTTTACTTTTTTCCTCTCCTTTAGATTGCCCAGATTAAGTGCTACAGTAAAGTGGCAAAATTTTTAGTACTTATTGGATCTAGGGAATAGGTATATAGGGGTTATTGTACTGTTTTCTCTAATTTTGTGTGTACTTGAAATTTTTCATATTAAAAAAGAAGGCTGCAGCTGCTGCAGCTTGCCCAACCAGTCTTCACTTGGTCTTTCACTTCTAGTCTCAGCCCCTCTGTTTCCAGGATCTGAAGTATGTGATTCATTCTGCCTCCCCACCTGGGCTCTAGGAGTTAACTAACTTCCTATTTTGACTTAAGTGTTACAACACCTACTTCTTCCCCTGAAAAACCCACAAGCAATTTGTAGAAGAAAATCTTCAGAGAGAACCATGATCAGACTAAGGTACCTTCTTTGTACTAAACCACAAAAATACTGAAAAAAAAAAAGTCTTCAAAAAGTAACAACAGAAAACCCCAAAGTACAATGAGTGCATAGATTAAAAGAAAATGGAAAGAATAAAAAAAAACTTTAACAAAAAGCAAAAAAATTAGGCCTGAAATTATATCAATAATGCTAGACACGGAAGGAGTTGAGAGGGATGAGGGACCAGAAGAATTACAAATGAAATCAAGGACTTTTCAAGTTCTGTCCAAAGAATAGAAAGGTTTACTCTCAGGCAAGAACAAGATTTCTTGTTTTTCTTTTATAATGTTGTATATTATCATGGATCACATAAGAGTATGGGAAGCTGAGAAATAAAATTGACCCAATCACAGCACATCATTGAAGGAAAAAAAATAATTTAGAAATCAAATACAAAAAGTAAGGAAAAGTTAACAAATTAATTCAAGATAAAATTATCAGTATCAAGAAGGGATCATATAAATCCCTTTCAGGGAATAGAAAACTGAAGCTCATGAAAGTGAATTTGGTCACAAGGTTACTCTGTTTAAGTGTTGGAGCCTGGATTTAACTAAGATATTTCTACATTTTTGTCTTTTCCAGTCTTTTTGGTAGAAATTAAAATCCAAAAGTAATTTTTAAATTATATGTAAATATAACTCAAAAATAATTCTGGCTTAAACTTAAAATATAGACATCAATGATGCCCCAGTAAGCTTCATTTTTCCACTACTTCATCAGTAACCCTCTGAGCTCTACATAAATTACTGTTATATGGGAAAAGACCACCTTAAAGTCAATGAAACTCATTTGACTATTGCAAATAAAAATTAAATTTTTTATGGTTCCATTAAATATATATTTAAAACTGTTCATGTAGAATAGAAAATAAATGAAAATAAAATTTTATTTTTAAATGAAAAGAAGCTTAATTACTGATGACTGAAATAATCAAACTTTGGTTTCTGCTAAAGGAATCTAAGTTTGATCCATACATTTGAAGAATGCTTTAACTTCATTGGCTGTTTTTGGCTGGCAACTTTTATCTTTTTAAACTAATGAACTTCCTTTGGCCTAGACAATATACTCAATGTTATTTAATACTTACCTTGTATTTGTATGTGAAACCTTGTATCTAAAGGTTTTTTTTTTTACTTTATGAGTAATTATCCATCTTGTAGATACTATAAGCAATTATGTGTTCAATAAATAATTACAGATTTAAATCATGACTCCTGCAAGAAATTAGGTTTAATAAATTACAGTTAAAACTATGTCACCTACATGACATAGTTTTTCTTTTGTGACTGGATGAGGGTAAGGAGAGAGATAGGAGAGAAAAACTATACCAATTATTTTAATAAAGATAATTTAATACAAAGACTTGTTAATTAAGTATTGCAGAATGAAAGGGCAGAAAGAGACAAGGATCATCACCATAATATACCTCCATCTCTGCCTCTGCCCAAAACATTGGGCAACAATAGCTTATTGCCTACAGGTGTGGGAGCATTGGCCTAGCAATAGGCCAATAACATCATCATGTAGTTTAGGGCCAGGTGAGGATCCTGGCCAAAGGTACTTCCCTTTTCCCCACACTTGGGAGACAGGTGTCTAAGGTTGCAGCACCCACAGGTTGGATCTGGTGCCTCAAGAAGGCACATTGAGATTGGTTCTGCAAGTGTTGAGAAACCCCAAATTGAAATCAGTGGCTGCTATTGGAAGGAATTACTACCACCAGAGTGAAGAACTGTTGATAGAGGGAAACTGAGAGCAAAAAGAAACCCATCAGAAGCCATCAAGAAAGAACAACTCCCTTCTCCAGCTGTACAGTGTCTCTCTAGTCCCTCTAACATAGAGCCATAAATGTTTCCAGAATTCCAAAGGGTGGGTGTGAAGCTGAGAGACAGCAGCTTACTAACTGACATGAAAGACTTAATTGTAATAAGACTGAGAGGTAATATATATAGTAAGTATTTTTTGGTATGTAAAATTGGGTACACATGGACATTTTCTGGGGAGCTGAATTCTAGGTGGACCTTTGGATTTATTATACAAAATTATTCCTATTTGAAAACTATTTGTCTCTCCTTATGAGATTAATAAAAAGCATTTAGAACATTTGTAGAATTTGGTCAGAAACTATGTAAGGGCCAACACTGAAGTCTCCTTAGCTGGTTCTGGAAGATCACAGCTGTAACGACTGAGGATTGCTCAATAATAGAAGCAAGAGATGCCCAAGACAGCTGAGACTATGTTACAAAGTAATGGACTAAAAAACTTACTTACCCAGGACAGAGCAATTGGGCCCTGCCTCAAAACAGGAGGTTGGTAGCAATAGGTTATTCTAGAGTCAAGTAAGTAATAAGAGCAATACAAATATGGTTCATTTAAGCAGATGTCTTTGTACAATACCAAAAAATAAATCAGCCCCTTCCTTCATTTTGTAAATTAGTGTGCTGGTAGTTGAGAGTACAATTATTATTGATTCCACAGAAATCAATAAATCAGTGCTTTCCATATTCTTTAAAGGTGGGCACGAATATGGTTGTTCTATACGGCAGCCACAGGAACATTCCCAAGTATTTATCAAATGACTATCAGAATTTTACCCAAACTTTGAGAAAGAACTATCAGCTAGTCATTATCCTTAAAGACCTTTACCTGTTTCTCATTTTATACTTATGTTTGTTGCATCTTTGTTTTTTTAAGGATTTTGAAGAATCACAGAACCACACAGAGGATCCTGTTGGAGATGACTACAAAAAGATGGGAACACTTTTTGGTGAACTGAACAAAAGCCTCATCAACATGGGCTTCACAAGGATGTATTTTGGAGAACGAATTGTGGAACCAGTAATAGTCATTTTCTTCTGGGTTATGCTATGGTTCCTTGGCCTGCAAGCCCTCGGACTAGTTGCTGTTCTTTGCCTTGTCATTATTTATGTGCAACAGTAAAATGTGGCCAAATAAGCTGTTGTTTGACATTTGGTAGCCATCAATGTAATTGGTGAAGTTGTCATATATTTCATTACATGAAAACGTAAAAGTTTGCCTTGTTTCAAATTTTGTGCTGTTTTGTAAATAAATTTGTAAGTGGATGTTGTTTAAAATTAAACTAAATTCTTGATTGTAGCAGGGTTGAGTATACATGTTATAGCTTCTTCAGAACTTTTGTTTTACTACTGTGATCTCTGCCCAATTAAATACACCTATTTCTATGCCAAATCTTAAATAACACCACCAAAAAGTGAGCAGGGAAAATAACTGTTTATGGAATTCAACTTGGGTAATATAGGTCTAGTTAAGAACTCCAGTAAAATATTTTAGAAAAAAGGATGAAACAAGGAGCTAAAAATAAGTTTTAATTGGAGAATTGTTCCCCACCCCACCCCCACCTTATTGGAATCTCAGATTTCTGTTGTTCCTGCTCTGCCCAAACCAACATAAATGATAATTACTCTATATTACCTTAATATTTTGATGAAAATCAGTAAAGCTGGCACATTTTCTGAAGATTAGACAGAATATATTTTGTTATCACTGAGGAAACTTCCCAAGTTAGATGTAACTTTTTAATAATGTAACACTTGGGCCTAGAATCACTTCAATATATCATTTAAAGTTTTAGACAATTTTGGTGCTAATTACTTTTTTGTGAATTTTTTAAGTCTCATAAGGCAGATCCATGGTTAGCTGTACCCCATGGTAACACTGTATTTTCTTGTATCTGGCAAGTTGCATATTTTTTTCCTAGAGAGAAAAAATTTTTCAGTGTATTTTTTTCAAAAATTTACATTTTATAGTTCTTTTATAGCAATTATTCTAAGGTTTTAAAAACCTACTTCCTATCTTGGCATGGATTTTTTTCCCCCATAAAATTGATTGTATTTTGGCTGAAATATTTTACTACTCTTTTAAGGGAAAAAAATGGCTTATTTGTTTTGATATCTCCATTGGAAAATACAGTATTACAGTATAAAAACAAATGCTTACATTTGGAAATCAACAGCCAATTGTAATATTCCTGTAAGGCTAAAGCCAAGCCAGTATTGGCCAGCCATGTTGTTAATGTGTTTCAATTCAGCACTTTGGGGTATTAAATTGAAATAAGCATTTCTTTAAAAATACTTTGAAAATGGAAAATGGCTTAGTGATATTTTGGATTTCATTAAAGAACCTAAAATCTTTACACTTTTGTCTTAAAGATTTTCTATGTAGACAAAGGAGGGGTAGTTAAGATAATTATCTAGAAATTCAAATTAAATAAGAGGAAAATGGGACAATGGGCATTTTTATCTTTGGCAGGGCAATAACTAAAGTTTATAGTGTTTACTCCTCCACTTTGTAAAGTTTTTACCCAATTCTGGTTTAAAATTTTTAAGTTCTTAGTGTCCTCCATTCTGAAGCAGAAAATTGATGGAAAATGTTCAACTTAAATTTCTAACATCAGATAATCCTGAACAAAAATACCAGTCACAGGACACTAAAAAGTATTGTATATTTGTATAAATACAGACCTTTTAAAGTTTGACTTAAAAAAAAAAAAGGCTTTGTACTATATCATTGTGTTTTTATTGGGTTTGCAATATTTTTATAGCAACCTTTATGAACTTGGCATAACTGCAAGTTATTTGAAAAAATGTCTTCATTTGTGCACAGTAGGATTGTGAGGTTTTTAATAGAAGTCATGAGATTTTGTATATCTGCATTAAATATTAAAAGTGCATTCTTTCCTAATGCTACCAGGAATTTTAATTTCCTTTTGGAATGTGAAAAAGATAAAGTGTGCATAATAGCTCTGGTTCCACCAGTGTCTAATGCTGAAAATATTTTTAGACTAAGTTTTAATAATAATTATTTAGTATGCTGTCAATACTATGTATCTGCACACTGCTGTTAACAGGGTATATAGGTATATATTAAATTATATAAAGAAATGATATATTTTGCTGCTATTCTTTATGCATATATTATTGGTTAGAGCAATATATCATCAAATTGCTTTGATAGGGAAGAAACAAACTGCTTATCTGATGAAAATAAAATATTTTCTTTTATGAAATATATTAGAATGCAGATTATACTGATACATGACGTAAAAAGAAACGTCACTTCTTTGATTCATGATATAAGGAATTAGATTGAAAATGATTCTCAGATTATTTCTATCTCATATACAAGCCAATTTTGGAAACTGTTACTGCTTATGAATAAAGATACAGAAGTTACCACACTAAGGTTATTAGATTATTAATTAATGTATCTCTCATACCAACAGCCCTCAATTCAAAGGAAAAAAGTCAAGATCTACAAATAAACTGACTATAGATGAATAAATCAATTTTTCTTAAAGTTAAAAACTAAGTATTTTGTAGAATTTAGTCATCTCATATCTTAAGCTGTCATATGCAAGATATTCTCCAATTGCTGGCCACCAGTCAGATCATTCTTGGGCCCAGCAGTACACCACAGCCAGCTTGCACTGGCTTACAAGAGCCAATTGTGTATATTTTTTCCTTACTCTTTTTTCAGCGACATCAAATCGGTAGCTTAAAACTATCTGGGGGACTGAGAGGGTTAACACCAAAAAAAACATAACAAATCAGGGCTCTATTTTCCTGCTGAAGCCAGTTGTTAAATTAGCACACCACTGATTTGTCACTTTAGAGGCCACATTCCCATTTCTTTTGCTACAGATATAAAAGGAAACATCAAGGCAAATGCTCATCAACTAATCCAGAACTCTGTTTGGATCTTTTTTCCATGTGGGAATTATGGACGATGGTTGTCTTCTAACCAACATAACTCTATTTAAACAATCACATTTTTTGTTCAGAGAAAATCTCTCTGGGCTGTCACTGAGCTGCAGATCCATCAAAGACTATCCAGGTGATCAGGAAATAAAGTTACTACAGAACTGATGGAGGACAAATTACAGCATAAGTAAAGGTCTGTAGTAAAGTAGAAAGCTCAAAATAGTCAAAGCTAGGTGCTGAGCAGTCAAGGGCTATTTGATTTGTAGATTACATTTTAGCAATTACTTTACAAATGTTGTTTGATTTCAAGTTATGTAAAATGTTTTCAGTCCATGGCTTTACAAGGTATAAGAGAAAAAAAAGTAAACTTCCATACTTGTTAGTACTTCTAATAATAGACTTGGCCAAGAAGAATATAAACCAATGTACAAACATGACTTCAGGATTACTGCTGGATTTAGGGTGTTTTGTAGCTCTATTTTTCTTCTCAACCCCTAATTTTTGGCATTCTTTGGGGTTCTTCCCAACAGCCTTTCCTCTCGTGACTATACATAGCCTTGGACAATGTCACCACCCCCATAGCCTCAGTTACCATTTCATACTAACAACTCTCCAGTCTGCTTCTCCAGTTCAAAGCTCTGTACAGAATATATGATCCCTACATTCAGTTGTTTGCCCAACTTTGGACTTCCTTATCCAATACTACCTCAAATTTAGTATGTACAGAAAAGGAATTGAACATTTTTCTCCAAAACCGGTCTTCTTCCTATATTTCCAATCTCAGCAAATGACACAGTCCTTTCCTACAGTACCCACATTCAACCAATCACCAAGTCCTATTTTACTTTGTAAAAATATCTTTTAATTTTCCACTTCCCTCCATTCCCAGTATCACTTAGTTGATACCACCATCATCTAACCTAGATTGCTATCTCAGAATCCTAATTATTGTCCCTGCTTTTATTTGCCACTTTATAGTCAATAATCAAAATGTGACTCCAACCTTGGCCTAAATCTTTTCAATGACTTCCTGTTGCCGTTATGATAAAGTCCTTATTCTTCAGTATGTTTTACAGGGTTCTTCATGAACTGGGTCTCGCAGAGCTCATCTCCCCACACTACTACCCTCTCTTTCCGAGACTCAGCTTTACTGACTTGGTTTTTCAGTTCCTTGAGAGAGATGTGATTTCTCATTCTAGAACTCTACATGTTTTACCTTTATTCTTTAACCCCTTCCCACCAAACTGACCAACACATCCACAGCTTTAAAGCCTCAACTTATACATGATATTCCCCACAAAAAGGTCTCTGAGTCTTTTATTCCAGTTTTTTACCTCCTATGCTTTTAAAGAACCCTGTCAGCACTTGTCATGCTACATTGTAATAACTTATTCATCAGCTTCCAGTAGACAATAGACTTCACAAGGGCAGACAACATATCTAGTTCATGACTGCTTTGCCTAACACAATTTTTGGCATACAACACATGGTCAAAATATTTAGCAAATGGATAAATCAACTTCATTTATTCATTGTCTCCCTCTAGTGTGTTAACAAAGAAAATGTACAGTTGGTTGTACTTTAGAATTGACCAAAAATAAACATATTGTGTGGATTGGTGTATAATGTTAACATTTATGAAATTTATTCACTTTTGATGGGAGGATATTGCTGTTATTTGCATACATATGCAGTATTACTCTATACATGATTTTTTTTAGGAGTGTATTTTCAGTGTTGTGCTTGATGAAACCTCTGTTTCTCCAGAAAACATATTTTAGAAGACATATCATCATTAATGCTATGTAAATTTCATATATTCCCCATATTTTTCAGTAGACCTTTATCTGCCATATTTTAATGTTTTACAAAACTCAGAAGTTGTGGGCAAGAATTCTCAAGTATCTAAGTTTGGAATTTTTAGGTGCCAGAGTAAATTCACTACTGGAATGTCCTAGTAGCCCAGATCATATGTGTTAAACAACATGTATATGAAGTACTTTGTTATTTTTTCTAATAAACAATACTCTTTCACAATCCTGTATTCTGAGTCTCTCTTCTCACTCCTTATATCATGTCCTACTTATCAACTAATTGCTGCCACAAGTTTGGAAATTGCCAATGCAAAAATACACCGGAGAGTGAACAGAAGTTGTATGTTTTTCTCATTCCTGTTGAAGCAGCAGAAAGCTAAGGCCTGACGTGTGTGGCTTCCCAGCAATGAAGTAGTAGGAAAACCCAGAGCAAGATCAACTTCTCCATCCAAGCTGTATTTCTTCTTTCTGTTGCCTTGACTATTCTGCAAGTTAGAATTATTGAATGAGCTCTGCAGTAGCCTGCTAAGATCCAGAACTTAGTCATTCATATACTTACTAAAACTGAGTCATCTCTTCACCAGAACAGATTTTATCATTTAACATCTTGGCAACCTAATCTGTTGGCAATTTCCTTGCTAGTTCCATTGTGCCACAGAATACAGTGACTTTTATCGTAAGACCATGGACCTTTTTGTTACTGGTTTACCACTGTATTACAAGAGGCTAGTTGATGGTATATTTTTTAATGTGAGATCTTTTTTAAATGAAAGATGAAAATTCTATATACGATATACTTATTTATACCATAGTTGGTTTAAGACAAAATCTTAGTAAGAATTATTTTTCTCATGGGGGCCTGCCTGTGGGATGTGTGAAAACTTGGTCAATATGTGGGAGCACACACCATCTACTGAATGCCTTTCTCTGGTCTGTCATGAATGCTTCTGTCATGTATTTTCCTGGTTTTATATATGTAATATCAAAAATTATCATGACTTTATTATGCAATGTATTTTCAGCTTTAAAAGGCATAAGAGTTTATGTATAAAGGGAACATACAAATAAAGGCTAAGAAAAAACTATTACAAAAGGAAAATACTCCTTAGATGTTGACTTAGAAAGATTAACTTAAACTGGTCTTGCACAAAACCATGTTGATTTTTCATGTAAGCTAAAGCATTTGTTTAATTGTTAGACCAGTGGTTTCCAGAGAGTTTTAGTTTGGTTTGCTTTTAAATGAAATCTTACATGACTATCTGATATATAGAAATGATACAAGCAGAACTGCTATAAATGACTTTGCTGTAGGTCCTGTGCCCAGGGAAGCAACTCTGAGAAGAAATTAGCATACAGGAAGTTTATCAGGGAGTGCTCTGGGACCAGCACCCATGAAGGAAGAAAAGGTAGCAGGGTTGGCAAAGGGAGTTACATAAAACAGTCACAGCAAGGCTGCAGTGACTCTGTGTGGTGCTCACAAACAGGGATGGCCCTTAAGGACTGGCCTATGTTGGGACAAGGGAGTCCTTCTTCAGCCAAAAGCTGATTCCCAGAGAGGGCTGACAACTGGGGGTTGTCTTTCAGTGGCACTCCCAGCAGCTATCAGAGTAAAATGCTTTGGTTCTGAAGGGAGGATATGAGCAGCACGACACAGCATGCACTATAAACTCTTTTTTTGCACCTCACCCTCCATGATGCCCAAGTCAGTTCCAAAAACGCCATCCTTCAGGGTACAATATGAAGATGACTAATTAATCATAAAGTCATTGGGCAGGATGGATTAAAAGAATTAGAGATACAACCTGTAGTCTGTTGTGTTGCCTGCTTCTATTATGAGATTCAGGTCTTCAATTATGACAAAGCTTTGGTTGACTAAACAGTATCCCCAGGGTTCAACAAAGGCTTGAAGGTATTAGGAACAGGTGAACAAATGATTGACAGAAAAGTTCATTACTTAAAACTAAGGGTAGGAAATCCATGTGATTTTGTATATGTAAACTACTTAGACCAACATTTACGCTAATAAATCCCTAAGGTTAGGGTCTCACAAGACATCAAGACAACCATCATTAAGGTGTCTTGGGAGCTGGGTAGATTCAAGCCTAGATGTAGGTAAGTCTGCTTTGTGCTTTCTGACCCCTTTCCCAAGTTCCAAAGATGTTTTAGTTCTCAAACTTTGGAGCATGTTTAAAATACGATTTTCAATGGCAGAATATAACTCACAAAGACACCATACATCTCTCGCCCCCAACACATAGTTACAACTGATTTATGACTTGGAGATTTGGCCGTAATAATGACTTTCCTATTTATTTTTAGCACAAAAGGTTTCAGCAGCCAGATTTAGTAATTCAGTAGGCACTAGAAAAGAGCTTTCACCAGTCTTATCCCAGAATATTGGGGGAGAGAGGGCTCTGAAGATAAATTTTAGCTGCTATTTTTATCCCTGGAATCTTAGGAATAGGCAAGATCAAGCAAGACAGTGTCCCCAAGCTAGTTACTTACTAAAACTACAACAGTGTTTAGGCATGATTTCCCCCTTTAGTTATATGAAAACATTAGAACAGCATACATGCTTTCAGATAAAAAGATATCTTTATGTTGGACCTGAATTTAATTCTCGCATCTGCCATTTACTAACTGTACAGTTTATAGAAGTTATACCCACATCTCTTTAACCTCCAAGTCTCTCATCTGTAGAATGGGGTAATTTTTATAACTGCATAAGTTACTTCATATCATATCATAGTGCCTTACACAGAGCAAGTTTTCAATAAATGCAAGCCATTATTATTAAATATAAACACACACAAGACAGGACGCTCTTCACTATCCATCGAAAGCTCATACATTGAGAGGTATAAGAGATCTGCTTATTTTATTGTTGCCAAAAGATAGATGAATAGAAGGAATTCTGTTACAAGGCTGTTATCCCAATTCCTCATGATTAAAATCTTTGTGAATTCTTTTATTAATTTCAACAAATAGTGCTTTATGAATCAAAACAATCATAAAAATAGGGACTGAAGCATCTAAAGAGTTGAAAAGAAATGAAACGTGCTCTGTGCAGCCTCACCTTCTTTAATGAGATACTATGTTTTTTTTAAACACCTACTTACCACAATAGTGTACATTTTCTGTTGCTCCTTTTCCCTAGTAAATTGGGGCAGAATCACTGCCACCAATGCATACATAATGCTGCTGTGGATTTGAAAAATTTACACAATGAACTCAATTCTGAAAATACTTCAAGTTTTATTACATTCCACAAACCAAGAGCATTATGTTATGTTTATAGAATCATAAATAATATCTTCCTTAGATTCCAAGGTGAAAAAAATTCTAGACCAAGCTGTTGGTCTGTTATGTTATATTTTTAATACATACTAAAAATGTTTCACCAAGATAAATATAACTGTATGCTGGTGTTCTCACATAAAAAGTCCTGCACATGCCAGTTCACATGGATACATTCTGTCCACAGGTAGATTGTATAAACCAATATCTATAATGTTTTAAAAAGTATTATGTATATGTTCATAAAGTCCTGTCTTTTTAGTCTGTGAAACATGGTAAACACAATGATCTTAATAATCTTTATTTTTGCAAGTCTTCTACTACATTGTTCCATCCAGAGCTCCTCTTTTCATATTTTCTTTTGATTCAAGTAATTCTTCCTACCTGAAAAGTCAAAGTTTCTCAAATCAGATGTTTACATATACAAATGTTTTAAAATACGCTATGGCATATCTTTAGTGCTATCTCCTTGTGCATTTCAAAACTGGTTTTCCCACATTTTCCTTAACTGTCAGTTTATGCTTTCAGATATTTTTATAAGATGCTCAGAGCTGAGGTTGGCCAAACACAGCTGTCCTCAGGCATTTCTCCTTTTTTCAAGTTGTAAGAAACAGTTCTTGAGAGCTCCATGCCTGGCTACAGGATTGTCACAATCACCTCTTTCTGATGGAAACATACTGTGCTTTTCCTTCCCTTAGCATATCACTGACACCCAGGTCTATGGCCCAGACTTTTTTCCACTAACTTGGCTTGCAAAAGCCCTAGTCTAACAAAGAAGTCATTATTTTTGCAATGCAGAAAGATTCAGACACGAAAAGACCTGAACTTTAATCTATGTTTTAAGTTACAGACAATGATTACTAGTGCTAGGGTGTTACTGCTTTATCACTGCCAAATCAAGGAAAAAAAACTGCTAATAAAACCACCTTTTTATCAGAGGAGTAACTTCTCTTCATCCATGACTGTCAGAATGTACATACGAGGAAAATCCCATACTAAGGAATCCTCAAAGTATATCCGAACTTCATGTTTCATTGCCATCCAGCCAAAGAGAAAGACTGTTGCAACACCTGCCTGCCTCTTCTATTTCCCCTAATGTTTACTGCTTTTCCAGTTCTATGCAATGATTTGTTCCTTCTAGAACTGAGTTTTTCAATGCAGTCTAACCTTCAAAGGAGGCCTGGAGAATGGACAGTGATTGTTTGAGTTGATCTGGCACATATAATCACAGCAAGACTGAAAAGAAATTTGCTGTGAGACACCATCTGCTGCCAAGTTTTTTCTTTAAATACAGAGCAAGGAACATCACTATAAACTCATGTTTAGCTTAACAGAGATAAAGATCAGTAAGTACAGAAATAAGTATAGATATGCATATATACAAGGCATTAGTATTGAAGGACTTCAAGACATACCAGCTCAAAACATGCCACTTTGGTGCATTGATTATTTTGAGCTAAAGGCACTTGAAAAATAGCAAATTCAAAGAGAGGCTTTTTCTTAATGCCCCTTACCTGCCTCAAGACAAATCCTCCAAAAAAAACCAATTGTCATAACTCACCTGGGAGTTTCATCAACCAGGGGACACTGCAGAGGAGACTAGAAATCAATAGCACACCCAGACAAAGTTTATCAAAATCATCATCTGTTCTTCTAAGAGCTTATCCATCTCTCCCTAAATCATGCACTGTCCCCTGAATTGACTGCATCCCACTCTCCTTCCCCTGTTAAGGTGGTATATAAGTTCTCAAATTCACCAATTTTCTTGGGTGTTTATTTTTTTCCTGTGATGCTCCCCTGCACATATTATTAAAATTAGTTAGCTTGTATACCTTTCTTCTATTAATCTGCCTTTGTCAGTTTATTTCATAGACCCAGCTACCAAATCTTGGAGGGGATAAGGAAGGTCCTACCTCCCCCACAGTA